ATATACATATACACGAATATGTAAATACATATATGTGTGTGTGTGTGTGTGTGTATGTATACTACTATGTGAATACACTCACACACATACACACACATATATATATACCTAGAGTGACCTAGGATCGAGGCCAGGTCAGGGAGGATTGTTATATATATATACATATGTATATGTGAATATACATATAAACATATGTATACGAAAATGTGAACATATATATATGTTCACATATATATATGTGTATACAACCTTCTTTCTCTCCCTCTATCTGGCCGCTTTTCTGGTAATGACAAGACAAAACGTACGTGAGAAAGGTTCCACGTAATATAATAATAGGTTATCGGTTTCGTCGTCTCTTCCTCCTTTTCTCATCCTATAATTTTCTCTTCCTTTTTTTTATGGTTATTCTTCATGGACATGATTTTTTCTTGTCAATACACTTTTCTTATTGAGGATAAAACGACTCTGAAAGATTCGGTGGTTTGACGACGCGTTTCGCTTAATTATGTTATGAATAAAATGCGGTAAGATCCAAGATAAGCTACATAAAACACACACACAAAGGCATGGATATATGCACACGTAAAGGGATTTGTGCATTTATACGCACTTTTACACGTTTTAATTTACACACATACGCCCATATGTCTTTTCACAGACATTCAAACACTGATAGATAATAAACCTACAAGAGGTTCAACGTTTCCACTGAATTTTCCACAAAAAAGCAACTAAACAAAATATGCACTGGCACCCTGTATCAGTCAAGTAACCACATACCAACCCATGGTCAATAATTTACACATTTACACATTTACAATTTTTTGTGATGTAGGTCGACTAGAAACTATGATTGTAGAAGCCCGATAGGTGGATCCTACAAGAGTATGGTGAATGGTGAGCTTAGTCTGTAAGGCAGATAACCAAGATTCCTTTGTCTTGATTCATGTATTAAAGAGTAAGGCTGGAGCGAAACTGCTCCTCCTTGGGGCGAGATGTTTCTCGCTGGCTCCCCGCGGGAGTCTGTCTGTCATGCAGGAGTGCAGGGAAGCTATAAATCACGTATTAACATCATTGGTGAAGAAGCAATACATAACTCTTGCGGAAGGGAAAAACAAAACGCATTGGTATGTCACGTGCGATAGATGAATTAACAGGTTAAACAGCGAATATGTGCGCATGCATATATACATATGTGTGTGTGTGTGTGTGTGTGAAAGTATGAATATGACAAGTATAGATTATGTAGAATATAGCAAAAGATATGGAGAATATCATGAACATACATATTTCAGTAATATATAGACATAGTTTGATTACAATAATTGTATTACATTAAATCATATCAAATGTTCATGTAATGTTTTTATTTTTCTGAATGCCATTGTTGAAAAAATAGATGACCAATTTTACGGTGTCCGTATATATATACATATATATTACTGAAACTAGCCATGATGAAGGGGAGATGAAGCCGTTTCCGGGGTAAACGGGGCTCTTTAGAGTAAACTGATAGATGATAATTACAAATAAATGAATGAATGAATAACTAAATAAATAGATGACGATAATGGATAAATAACAATATTAACCAAGTTATTGTTCATGGCATACCATTGCGACACTGGTTTCTCGGCTTTCGTTTGGAAACGCTAAACAGTGGTATTTCATTAAAGGACAAACAAGACCAAGCTTCCCATCACCAAGGCAGAAATAATTGAGAGATCACAAGATTGTACTATCAATCTAATGTTGCATATTCTTAATTTTTTACTGCAAATCATTCTATAGGGGATCAGAAGACAACTACCCGAAATACCAGAGACCCAGTCTTGGTTCATGAAGGATAAAGGTACCTGAGAATGCTCGTCAAGAGAGCCATCCAACACCAGTAAAACATCTACCTGGTTTCCATTGACTATCAACAAACTTTTGATAAGGTCTGGCATTTACATTTTTAAAAAAATCCTGCAAATATCCGAATAGATGACAAAGATATGAGACTAATTCAGTCAGTTTACCAAGATCAACTTGCAGCAGTCTGTATATCCAATGGAACAACTGGTTCCCCATCAAGCGAGGTGTCCAACAAGGTTGCGTGATGTCACCTGACTTTTTCAGTTAAAGTTATCCAGCACAAATGAGTGCAACTCAAATCCCTAGGACTTGCAATCCGTAAAAGCACATTAGAAAACCTTAGCCTATACGATAAAACTGAAGGCAAGCAAGCTCGAGAAAAACATTCCTTGACAAGTAGTTAGTCAAACACCGCATCAGTTATGGTAGAGAAAAGTGTATACATAAGTATACATACGTATATGTGTGTACATGTGTATAAGCATACATATGTATAACTTTATAGATATAAAGATATATATATAGATATATAGATATAGATTTATCTCTACATATACAAAGTTTTGGTGGCCCAGTCAGAATTCTTGTTCACTGTGCATGTGAATATAGGTATTGTTTCAAGTGAAAGTGAAAGAGGAATAACAAAACAATTATTTGAGAACATATATTCAGATTTATTTGTCTAAAATCATCAGACTTTCATCACGGTAAGCATCATAGTCATAACCATACATTTGGTACAGAAAATAAAATCCGCAGGCATGAAGCAGATAAATATTATCTACTAATAGAATACATAGAATATCTATATAATGTATGTACACCAGTTGGACATACCAACTCTTCCCACTATGACTCACCAGTAAACATATGATTTTCACTGTCCAATGGACTTTAGAGACACTAGGCCCCTTTTCTCCAATGTGTGGTTATAGCCATAGGAAGATGCTAACAATTCTAACTGGAACATCAAGGAGTTTGTAGCTGCCAACTTTACTCTTTTCCTCCCGCGCTGCAATCACAGCCCCATGCTACATTCAACAGCTCACTCAGTTCCTCTTCACCAAGTGAGCATTTGGGAAAAGCTTTATTGCACGCAGAGGAGTCCTTGGTGTTGGTGGCCACGTCTCTGGCGTAGACGAATGCAGCATTGTAGGAGTTTGCCTTCATAGTCTTATCGGTTAAGACTTCCACAAGCATGTTCTCTTTTAGTGTGCGATCGGATTCGTCCTTCGCCTGCACGAGGCAAAACATCTTGGGGACGCACGTGTTGGGATCCAGTTGTCCTACTGCCGATAGAATCAGATCGTCATCTTCCTCAGCTGCTGCTGCAACGGACCGGCGATAACGGAGACGGTACTTTCTTTTAGGGGCTCTGTACCCATGGCCATGGCCGCGTCCATGGCTAGCACCATGATATCTGCGCTTGCTTATAGCGCTCGTCAAGGCTCCTAGGCCAGCCAGAACGCCGAATGAGGATGCTGCTTGGGCTGCCATCAGGCACGAAAGGCCAACGGCCACCAGGAGGATTAGGGCGCTATTCATCTAAAACGAAAAGGCAAACGTTTATTCTCTTAATATAGTAAATCATAACAGAAATCAGAATGTTATAAGCAAATTAGTGCAAAACGCAATGAGAAATTTCATTCCACATGGCAGACAAAGAAGACTAACCCCAATGTTTAATACTGTAGTCTATAAACATCGTGATTTGTTTAACCTTATATACAAAAACAAATTGTAAAAATAACTTCCCAAATCCACATATACACACACCTTGTAGATATTAAACCTCTTAAAAGATACGAGACAATGTTCTGCTTCTTTCAGTAAGCATGCGTTATACTAAGCTCTGGGTCTAAGGCCTTATATATATATCCCTGTGTCTGATATTGTGCCCAAATATCCTTTAATGTTATTGGTCGACCTTTTACACTTCGTCCAATAGCAATACAGTATTGCTGCGCCTTGTGCAATAAGTGTTGCTGGAAGCAATCTATATCTGTTGAATATGAATTACAGGACGAAAGTAAAGAATAAAGATCAGATAACTTGTATATACATGATTATATAAAGTTCGCAGTCACGGAAATGGAAATAGAAGAGGAAGAAGTACTGTCAGTTAACAATGACAAACATCTTTGGAAATAAATAAGATTTGAATCCCGAATCTCTTCCAAAAAAGCAATTAGAAATGAGCTAAAACAGAAAGGTAAATTATTAATCACTAGAGAATGGAGGATTCCCTAAAATCTAATAATACATATTCATTTTTATCATCAAACTATTTCTATAGCCCTAATTCCACTGCGCCGTGTGAAAAGTACAAATGAATTATTAAAAGTATTACTCAATTGCAGATTCCTGATGGTAATAATGATGAATCATGAGCATGCAACAGTATCAGTGATAATATGAATAATGAAGGATGATAGAGGATGAAAACACAGTGGTGACACAGATAACATTACTACGTATTATTTGAGTGCGTTCTCTTATCTTGTCTTTTGTTGTATAATATATGTTCATGCTGGATACTTATGCATGTTACGATTCATTTGTAACATACATATTTCCTTGCAGATTTTCTCTTAAAAACATTGTGTAAAATTTGTTATATATGGCATCTGTCATCTGTCAATATACATTGACAGATGACTATGATGTCTAAAATTTCAATCAAAGCTACATAGGCCTCTAGGTTATCTGTCATGTTCAATCTGCTGTATTTGTCGTGTTTATTTTTTTTTATTTTTTTTTTTTAGTTAATGTTTGATTTTTCTTATTGCCATGTCGAATCTATGTTGTCATGTTGTAGCTAAATATAGAGTTGCCTATAATGGAAATCATTTTCATATCTAACTGTTGTGATCAATGTCATTAACGTGTTGGATTTTTTTCACATGTTGGACCCGTCTTGACATCATGTTAAATCTAATTGTTAAGTTGGATAAACCATTCTGCTATTTAGAACCTGCTTTGTCACGCTCACTCGACAGTACCTTGATGATACTTAACCAATTTCGGATTACGTAAGTTCCCTATATGGTAATAATAAAACCAGAGATCTCAGATTACCTTCATACTCACCAGGCCAAGCTCATTAATATTCATTGTTACCAAGAAACTGTAATTCCCCTTCATGAGGTACAAGCTACAGTTCATTGCTATGCCTCGATCCTGTGTATTGCTCTGACTTCATCGGATGTCTTGTAATGTGCTCCACGTAACAGTAAAGTCTCGTTTGCATTTGAATGAAAGTAAAAGTAAAAAAAAAAGAAAAAGAAAAAAAGAAGTGGTACTCAACTACGTAAGAGAGAGGAAAAGAGAGAAGGGGGGGGGAGAGGAAGAGCGAGAAACAGAGAGAGAGGCAGGAAAGGAGAGAGAGAATGAGAAAGAGGGAGGGAGGGCGAAAGAAAAAAAAATATAGAGAGAGGGAAGGGGTACACGCTCTCAAAACAACCAAAGTAACTGTGATAATAACGGGTTTAAGTCAGTCGAATAAATTATATAATATGCAATGTTTATTATAACTTAGTTTCAACTAAATGACAAGAATGAGTATAGTAATGATCAAAGTGACAATAATAATGATATTGACAATGATGGTAATAACCATTATTATTATTATTATTATTATCCTGATTATATATTCATAATGTATGCATGTGTATGTGTGTATGAGTGCATTATGAGAAGGCTACATAAGTTTTTGATTTTGTATATGATTACAGGCAAAGAACAAATTAAAATTCTAGTCACACTTTAATTGACTTACATATATTTTATGTGTGCGTCTGTGTAGACATATATATATACGTGTATTTATATATATGTGTGTGTGTGCTTATATATATATATATATATATATATATATATATATATATATATATATATTTATATATTTGTGTGTGTATTTATATGTATACATATATTAGATTATATCTATATATACATATATATAGATATGTTTTTATATATATTATTGTTTTATACACATATATGTGTATGCATATAGTAGATAGATATGTATGTGCATATAATTTATTTTATACTACTTATTTGTGTGTATATGTATAAATATATACATAATAACAGAGATCTCATGATGTACCTTCATACTCACCAGGCCAAGCTCATTAATATTCATGTTACCAAAAACTGTAATTCACCTTCATGAGGTACAAGCTACATTTCATTGCTATGCCTCGATCCTGTGTATTGCTCTGACTTCATCGGATGTCTTGTAATGTGCTCCACGTAACAGTAAAGTCTCGTTTGCATTTGAATGAAAGTAAAAGTAAAAAAAAAAGAAAAAGAAG